TTATGTTTTAATAGGTTCAAAATAAATTTAGTTGCCTGGAATGGTAAACAGAAATATACCGCCCATAATAAAAATGGAGCATCCACATCAAAGCAAAATGAATGTCGCTTCGCCAGCCACCAAAAAAACTTCGCGAAGTACACACAGAAAAAAACAAGTACCCATAGAAAATACAAAGTACCCATAGAAAATACAAAGTACCCATAGAAAATACAAAGTACCCACAGAAAATACAAAGTACCCATAGAAAATACAAAGTACCCATAGAAAATACAAAGTACCCATAGAAAATACAAAGTACCCATAGAAAATACAAAGTGGAATAAAAAATGCTAAGTGTACCTATGGGCCTTCGTACAAAGACACCTGCTCTCAAGGAAAAATGAATAATCGAATAATTTCTTCGATCGAGATAGGTCAAATTTCACAACAATCCACCCACATACAGACGCTACCGAAAAAACAATCTTCTTGGCAAGGGTACTTTGCCATTTCCCCATGACTCCAAGTGAACTCGCCAACACAATGGCGCAAACATCATTACCATTACCTCAAAAGCGCTGTATTGACAACGCATACAGGTGGGGTTGACTTCTAAATTATTCATGAACATCTCTTTATCGCTTCATCCAAGGATTACTAGTACATAGTTACTGATACATGTATTTGACCAAGATACATGTGCGAGTTGTATATAGGGCCAACATCTATATTTTTCACCTGAGATGTTATATATATCATCTGTGCAGATGTAAGACTTTGGTGTGAAAATAATTGTCCACATTTAATGTATGTTACATAAAAGTAGCATTTCCAACCTTTCCATTCATGATAGACGGCACAGATGGCAAATTGGCTCTCACTACATAATCACTCCCCCTATCAGATGTTAGCTGTAGTGCACCCATTTAGCAGTAAGTTTCAATGAATCAGAAAAGGCTGCATTCCGAAGAATGTAGACTTTTTATTTTGTAAGATATGGATATGGAAGAATAGCGGATATTTGTCCTTCAATGCAGCGGGTGCCACACAAGTATAGGTGTATGGACCAGTCCACCAAATGCTGGTCATTTCAAATTTTGAAACTGTCAGTTTATAACATCCCCTACCATGTCAATATAGCTCCACCACATCTACATGTCTAATCAATGCATATATGAGAGGTGCTGCACTACAGGTCTCTCAAACACAGTTTTTTTTCAAAGGGGCGGATATATGTAAATGTTAACGGGGGTTAAATTAATCAGAGTGTTGACAGAGGTGAAGATACCACAACACAGAGGGAATCACACTCATACAGATGATGATATGTTCAACTTTACTGTACTTTCAGTAAGAAGTTTAGATGTGAGATTTCTGACATGACTTCCTAGAAGCCTATAGCTAAATGACAGATTTCAGATTCAAAATGACCAGCATTAGTCTAGCATGGATGCCAGACCCATAGCACACTGGACAAAAAGTATCTCAGTGAGCAGGATAACTTGGTAGTGTGCTATGGGTCTGGCACCCAGGCTAGCATTAGTCCAGTCTAGTCTATACAAACGTGACATGAAAAAGACGCTGGTCCCTCGATTTCAACTACGATGTGGAAAAAGATACATGTACTTCAACTTTCACCACAGAGCAGTGGGTGGAAGGCTGGAATACTATCTTTGTTTGCTTGCTTTCTTCTTTAGACATGTAACACTGTTGAGTTTCACACTTTTCCACACATTGCACATGCCTGTATACATGTACATATCACAGATAATATCTGTGCCATCCTAGTTAGTTTGAATCTGATCTGATGTTAGCACAGATTAGACTGAACATACACACATCAGTAGGATACATCTAAATTACAAAAAGTTTCCAGAATGTGAGAACACCACATCCTAACGACTACCATAATCTGACTGAATGACTTTTGAAATTCTTATTTCTACAAGCCAGTAATAATAGAATTGATTTGAATCAGCTGAAAGGCTCTTTGTACAGTGACAGTAACTCCATGAACATTTCACAATAACTTGGATCTTCATGGGCACAAAGTGCTGATGAACCCAAAATAACTTTATAAATAATTTATTGACAGCTTCCTATGCCATCATAGATGAATAAATAATATATTACCCAAAGACAAAGTGTCACATTTGGCATTATCATTTTGAGTTCTTCTGAGTCCAGAACAAAACAGGGAGATTGGATGATCTTTCCTTGGTGCCCCAAAACTTTGTTATCAAAATTACTGTGGGTTGTTTTTGCACAGAAATATGTAACAATCATTAGTATATGTAATGTTACTTTTATAACCTGACATAGTTTAAATAGTGCTGAATACAAGAATGTTACACTTTGTCTTTTAGGATATCCTTTGTGGCAGACCATTGTCTCACAGCCACCTTCTCTTTAATCTCTAAAAAATAACTTTCTCTGTAAGTCTTGTAAATACATTACTGTTTGAAGTGTGCAATCTTTTTCCTGTACAACTTAGAATTGCACTGTTTACTATCTGGCAGTGAGAGTGTGAGTTCTATCAGATTCTAGATCTAGATTTGAGTTGAGCAGTTGACTCTGATTAGTTGGAGTTTGGAGGAGACAAATGATACAATAAAACCGTCTAAATTATTTTCTCACGCTACCAAACTACAGAGGATTGTACAAGGAAAAACTCTAATACTGTAGTATATGTCTCAGTTTCCAGTCCCAAAACTTGTATTAGCTATCAACATGAATATTTCTACAGAGTACAATGTGTTAAAAGGAGATTGCTATTCATGTACAGTATTTGCATAATCTTTGTTCAAATTACATGTATCATGAGTTCAACCATACATGAATCATATGCATAATCAGTACATATAAAGAAAATACAAATTGATAGGATAAAATGACTCTATTCCAACATTGAAACAGTCAAGGCTCTTTGTCCAGGTTATATTGCACTAGCTCTGGGTTTAACCCAACAGGTGTCACAGAAGGATGATTTGTTGAAAGAGAACATGTTATCAAGTTTGCTACAACATACATTGAGTACAATTTTGGGGGATCACTTCCGGTTCCCTATAGGTCTGTGTGCTTCATTTGTCTAAAAGTAAAAAGGATTGCTTCAATTCCTCATTTTTTTTCTGCAATGACCGCAAAATTTCCACATTATAATTAACAATGTATGCCTGGATGGCAGGCAAAATAGAGTTCTAATCCAAGATGGATGCAGAGATAACAAGGTCATTGAAACATAAACGCTTGCATGTAACTGATCTGTAGAGTTTGCACTAATCTTTTGGTCTTTAATTGCAAGATGCAACAATATTTTCTTTAGGTCAACTTTGTACAACTCTGTACATGACCCTAGATGGTTAAAAGGATAGCTTGATGTGACATTGACAGCCAGACAAGGAGATCAGAAGGAGCACATACCGAGACTTGTATAGATTTTCAATTTTTATACCTCAGTAGTTGAGACAAGATAAAAACTACTCCACTGGTTTAAAGTCCATACAAGTCCCAGTACATGCTCCTTCTGACCTCCTTGTTTGACTGTCAAGATCACATCAGACTTGACCTTGACAGCCAGACAAGATGTCAAGATGTACAGATTACCTTGGTCACATCAGACATCCTCCTGAACAAAGATGTCTTATATCATCGTTGTTCAGAAGATGAGGCAATCTTTCTTCTTGGATTCAAACCATGCCTTCATCGACCATGAAATATGACATGGAGGGAACGTGGTGCAGAGGTGACCTGACAGGTGAGATCCGTCGACCTCCCATGCGGCGGATGTAGAAGAAGATGGCAGCGACCACGATGCCGAAGCAGAGGAAGAAGATGTACTGGTAGCCGGTGAGTGCCGACACGCGGACCCAAGGGGGCTTGTAACTGGACTGCTGCTGGAGGATTCCTGCCTGGATTTCCCTACAATCGAGAAGGTGCATCACAGTTAAATGATAGACTGAAATGGTTAACAAAAAGGTTTGATAAAGAAGATTTCTTTTCAAGCATGGCAGCAACGTTCACGAAATAGTCAAAACTGCCTGCTGGCCACTTTTCATTGAGGTCAAGAGGGAAGAGGTCAGGATCAGACAAAATACTAGGAGTAACAAGATACAGGTTAAATGATTAAAGTCCTAACAAATCCATAAACATACATGTACATGTAGTCGTAATATTGTCAAATGTTGGAATGTCAGGAGCCTGGAGACTTGACTCACTTGAGAGGCAGAAACCTGGTTCTATAGAGGATGGCTCCCAGAGTCCACTGGACCTCTCTGTCATAGATGAGCTGTGCAGACCGTAGGCTGCTGTAGTTGGCGGGGAAGCTGAAGCCGTCGTGCATGATGGTCGCCATCCACGCCGACTTAAAACACTGGGACCTAGCACAGACAAGAGACAAATATTTTCTGGTTATTCTGTGGTCACATTTATCATAGATCCTTGTACAGTTTTGATGTTGCATGCAGCATTTTCAAGCAGGCTATGACAGAACTAACCACCAAAAAGGATCTAGGACAGCCTTTTCCATAAAACAACAACTGAATTTTGCAGGACACATGCATGGCTATCCCAAGAATGCCATCAGTTTGTGATAGTTAGATTGTACATGTACAATACATGTATATGTGAACAGGCTCTTATGACATGTACTCATTTTTATGGATGCCAGAAAAGTAGCTACTTACCTAAATCTGTACTCATCTGCCTGGGGGTACAGTCCTTTCTCATACCGATCCTCCAGCAGGCTCCATCTTGTTTTACAGAAATCACTGGCTGCTTTTTCAAACTTTTTATACTCGTATTTCCCGCCTATTCTTAACACATCTTCCATGGAATACCAAAATTCTGAGAAGCCATAAAATTCACTGTTTTTAAAGTCTATATTTGGCTGGTAGACACCGTTAAAAGAACATGGTTGTTTCTGACAAGGGACGGTTTTGTTCAGGAAATGATGGAGGTTGGTCCGACAGACTGTGTAGTCCCCCGTGCCCTTGAAGTGTACATGGCGGCCATCTTGGGTGGTGTGTTCTAATGGCATGTCCCTTGGCAGACAGGGGTCCAGGATAGATGTTGACCTGCGTGAGGAAAGGAGCAAGTCTTGATTTATTCATTGTCATAAATGTACTGGAAGGTCCTTCACTTTTGACTAACTCATTTAAAAGGAAACACAATCAAACAATGGTGGATGGATGTTCCTTGCTACAGGTCAGTCTTGACTCTCCTTCCTACTCCATATTTTCCTGACAACTCCAAGAATGACAGAAACTAGCCTGGGTGCCATCCGCTGTAGTTTCTGCCCACTCCCTAATGTTGCTGGCTACCATAGCAGGAATTTTGAGTACAAAGACCAGTGTGAGATGTTTACCTTGAGGTGTTTGCCATCTGCTCCCTATACAACTTGAGGATGGAGTTGCTCCCGTACCCCAGGAAGGTGGACACATACACCCTGTACACGTGCTCTGTGTGGTGTTTATCACAGCCAAGGTTGAACTCTGCTATCAGGCTCTTGGAAATGTCATCCTGGGGAGAAAAACAACAGAGTGAGACCGCAGTCTTATACTTAGTTACAGTACTAGTTGACTGCTAAAACAGCTCTTAACTTATGTGAATAATTATGTGATTTATGTGATCGTATCATAAATGTCATTGTTCCTTTTGTGTATTTCATGCATCATTCTATTCTTCTTTATTTCAATAATGATTAAAATGTTTAAAAACATTGTTAATTAAGACTATGATTAATTAGTAGAAAGGTTGAAGGTTCAACATAATCTGTTTTAGGTTTTTCCTCCCTCCTGTTTTCTTTATCATTGATTACTACCGGTAGTATATTATGTTATGATCCGGTTTCTGTTGTTTTGAAAATAAATTAACAAACAAACTACACGGATGTGTACATTCTTAATTCCTATATGTAGAAAAGTCAAACTAACTGCCGGTGCAGTCTTTGCCTGGCAGTTTTCAACAAGTACAAAATGTGTTTCTATTGTGCCTGTATATGTGCATCTGGGTTATGTCATGATGGTTTGGTTTCTGTTATGAAAAGGAACATTTAATTGTACCAAAATATTACACAACATTTAAAAACAAAGCATTCATATTACAAAGAATGAAAGCAAACTTGGTAAGAACCATGCAGAGAAAGGACAAATGGACAGAAAAATTGACCACAGCAAACCAAATGGACAGAAGAAAAAAGCAGAGGCACCCAGAATGATGAACATTTTCGACACCTTGTCAATTCTTACACTTTTAGGCACTTCAAAAGCGATCTGTAGCGAGCCTCCGCCCATATCCAGCACACCAACGGTGCGCTTCCGCAGAATGGAGGGAACCTGGGACGCCTCACTCAGACTGGTCTGGTCAAACTCAACCTCTACCATTGGGTCATCTGGAATCAGGAGTGAGAAGATTTAGAATAATTAACATTACAAGATGCAGTGACAAGCTAGCCTTCACTCACATTATGGTATCACATGGTATCTTACATGGTATCACGTAACATGCTGGTTACAACTGTTAAGTGGACCTGGTATTCATACTGATTTTGTACTCTGGACTGAGTCCAACACCCAACACCTGGAGCACAACACCCCATTCTATGGTGAATGCTGGTGTTCTCAGCTTGTGTCATGTAAACCAATATCTTTACAGGGAAGACTAAGAACCCACCTTCCTCTGCATGGTTGAATCTACCCAGCACAAAGTTGATCCCTATCCAAGCATACACTCCTGGAATAGATGGTGAAAACAGGCATTACAGCTCATATCGTAGAACATCTGACAAAACTCCCATAACTCACAACATGACCTCTTTTAAGATGAAACTTTAAGCACCTCTCACAAGAACTATAATTAACCTTAAGCAGCTATTGCTGCATGTCGGGTGAAAAGACTTACCCTCCTGTTTGCCAGAGATGACTTCCACATGTGTATCTGAGAAGAGGAATTCGTAGTCCAGTGGAACATTTTCTCGTAGATTATCCAAGATGTCTTCCTGGTCACTAAGAACAAATCAAAACAGAACAGAACAAACATAAACATCCAATATTCACTGTAGTTAATAATAATAATTTAAAACATTTAAGATAAAGATTCAAGTTTATACTGTCTTTCCAAACATATGGTAAAAGTCCTCAGTGTTATATTACTATATATTGTTATAGTAAAGGTGCTATAGTGGACGTGTATCTCAATCCTTACCTTTCTGATAGCATCCTCATGCCTGCAGTTGCCAAGATGTAGAGGGGGGTTTCCTTGTGTTTGTCCCGAGGGATGTGGTATGCAGCATATTGCAGCAGTGGCTTTAGATATGTACTAGCTTCATCAGGGTTACTTGCCAAGGTGGACAAACCTGGACAACAGAGGTGATATAATTTGGCGCAAGGTAGTGTTTTGATTTGTTAATTTTGTTTATCAAGCTATGGATTAATGAGTCAACTATTCATGAGAAATAACAAAAAATAAGGAACAAAAGTAAGACCAGAAATATACCTGGTGTGATTCTTTTAACTACAGGTCTCCCTTGTAGGTCTCTCATTTGTCGAATATCAAGAAGCTGTGCAGGGTTCCCTGTGTGTCTGGGCCAGGAGTAAACAAACACACGTGATCCACTACTTCCACAGTCCACAACAATGCCGTAGTATAGATTGGGATCACGTGTGTCCGTCGCCTCGCCGAACGCCATCCTCTGCATGTATCTATCGATTCCCGCTGCCGGGAGGAATTTGTCGCTCTCCACCACAGCGAGCGTGAGAAGCACCAGGAATGCCACGAGAAGTCCGAAGATGATGGTGTACTTGAAGAGCGCAGCCAGGTGGGGTGTGGCCGGGAAATCCATGGGACTTGGGGGAGGGGGAGAGAGGGACCGGTCGCCATTGACAGGACAGTCCTGGGCAGCGGATACTCAACCTATGGACAACAATAGAATGGCAATATTTTAAATTGGAAAATTTTCACTACGTTGCGTAGCGAAAATCCGGATGGTACCCAGGCTAAACTTATGCTCTGATGAGAAGTACCTTGAGATCACTGTGAGACCATCATAATCACATTGTACATGTAATTACAATCAGTACTCACCCATTAGAAGAAAAATCACAAGGAACATGTCAATATATAGAATAATTACAGTGGTAGAGACAGCTAAGCACACATCATGCCTTGACCAATAAAAGGTAAATAAATCAATGGCACACCATTACGTACTAGTATAGAGATATTGTTGCCAAGTAATATGGATCACTACACTTAAGTCATCAATGACATAAACAGTCGTCAGACTTTTGTATCACACCTGTACTACAAGTCAGGTAAGCCTCAGGCAACTACGTAAGCACCTTAACTTAAGTAAGTAACACAGGTGAGCAGTGGGTGTGGTGCACGCAAGACAACAAATTATCAAACAATCTCTTACTTAGTGTTTGGGCAAGACATTTTGGTACAGTATCGTAAAATGGTTACAACTGAGCTTTAGATTTCCCAAAATATTTCTACTACTGTAACTTAACCAATTAATTAATAACAGACGGATAACTGGAATACAAAATGTGTGACAAAACTGCTGAAATGTAACAGCAAAACATGATTAAGAGAGTAGATTTTCTGTTTTGCAGACTATAATTTTTTGGAAGTACCTACGAGCCCCTACTTCACACAGATATGAAATTTGTGTTCCTCAAAATTTCAAATCATAATACAGTTTGAGAAGATTATGTTTGAGTGTGTGTTAAATTGTTTGTGTGTGTTGGGGGGGGGGCGGGGGTGTAGCCCTGTGAACCGATTCTTCCCAAACGACGAAGCGTTAAACAAATATAAAAACGCAAAATTCCAACCAGAAGTCTCCAGTTATGGAATGAACGCTCTGAAACCGACAGGTGGCTCAGTTCTCATGTCACAGTCTCACCTGGCCATATGATGACGTGACACTTCCCGGTTACTCCCTCCAGCTGACGACGTCTTATCGCCCAACTTCCACAGATCTGGCCCAGAAGACCCGTTCCTTAGAAGATCAGTGATGTCTTGGTGGCATCTTGGGTGTTTGTAGTTGGTTTACGTTGACCAGGTTCCTTCTTTTGACGGGGAAAAATGAAGACTACAACCCACCGTCCTACCTACGTATCCGCGTCGCCAAACACGTCATCAACCTACGTGTACCCGGCATTCCCGTCATGCAACGTTAACTACAGGGAAAGTACATTAACAACAGGCCCGGGTATCTTTGTGAAATAAGAAAGTTTTAGTCAAGAAATCACATCAGAAAAGAGGGAAGTTTTGTTGCTCTTTTTAGATGTAACACTTCATTTTTGTTGTAGGTTTTTGTAGGTTTGATTGAGTTTTGTAGGCTGCTTGCAAGCACCCTTCATATTGCTTGGCTTGTCCCTTATTTTCAGTTTGCGGCAGTGACACGACAGTGAGGGTACTTAAACAGTAAAATGGAGGTGGCATTAAATGGTGATGATTCATTTTGCTTCAAGTGATAAGGATTTTCATTTTACACGATGGGTAAACTGTTCATTGATCTAACGTTACACGTGAGCGACAATCATAGAGATTTTACGACATTAGCCGCCGTAAAGTAGGCTGGTCCTACCGCCTGCGGCACTGCAGGCAAGATGGCTGCGAACGGTGACGAAATCGGCGACGTGCGAGTCGGAGTTTGTGTACAGGAAATAGTCAAACACGATCTGGAAGCTAAGGCGGTTGTACAGGTCCGTGAATATATTTGCCTTACATATATCAAAGTATAGCAGCCATTGTGTCAACTTCTTTCTTACCCCCCTCCCCACGTCATCAACCGGTGGAAAACTTACTAAAGAACGTGGCTATTTACACTCCCGGTGTGTATATAAAATCTATTTGTCTTTTATATACACTCCGGGAGTGTATTTAAAATCTATTTGTCTTTTATATACACTCCCGGAGTGTATATAAAATCGCCTGAGGCTATTGACAGGATCGTCCTGTCAACAGCAGGAAATACTGCACTGCTGACAGGATCGTCCTGTCAATAGCAGAAAATATTGCACTGCTGACAGGACGATCCTGTCAATAGCAGAAAATATTGCACTGCTGACAGGACGATCCTGTCAATAACAGGAAATACTGCATTGCTGACAGGATCGTCCTGTCAGCAGTGCCATTTTTGACACTGTTGACAGGATCGTCCTGTCAGCAGTGCCATTTTTGGCACTATTGACAGGATTTTTTAAATCTTCCATTTTGGGCTCTATTGACATGATTTCTTCTTTGTTTTCACTTGTTTAACCAGTCAGAAGGCATATGCTACTGTACTGCAGATTAGGCGTTTCACGATGGCGGCTATCATCACGTTAACAGTTATCAATACAGAGTACTCCAGCAGATATATGTCAAAACTGGACATGTTCAAAATATAAATACAAGCGAATTTCATGCATAAGCTGTCTGAAATACGAAGGCGGTTACATAAGATGAAGACAATAAAAAAGACAAAAAGAAGTTGATCTCTATC